CGCCTCCCACGCGTACCCGCCTCCAATTCCTTCCTCCGCCTCCCCCTACTCCTCGCCATCCGCCTACGTCGTCTTCCGTGCCTCCCCGGCCTCCCCGCCTCCAGGGGCACGCCCCTTCCAGCCCTCCGCCGCAGCTCCGGAGAGCGACACCCCGACCCGCTGTTCCGCTAATTCCGTAAAGGGATTACACAACGTCACTTCGCGACGAGACAATTCCTCCAGTCGGCCTGGATGCCGAGCGCCGCCCGTCCTGCGCCGCCCGTCCTGCGCCGCCCTCCGTCCTCGCCCCCCGTCCTCAATGCGCCGCTTACGCCAAGCCGCTTCCTCCTCGGGCGCACGGCACAAGAGAAACAAAGGACAAGCGCTTATCTATATACGGTGCATCGTGCACGTAGCTGGGGGCAATTCATGTACTTAGTGACTGTGGGGAAACAAATTATAACATGTTGGAGACACAATTGAGATCTTTTCTAACCCCGCTCGAATCGTCAGACCTTGGAACATTGGAATGTTACACGATTAAGAAAATTATATTCAATAGGATACTCAGTCATTTCAATACTAAACATAAATGTAAGTAAGAAATAGAAAAAAGTTAGAAAGCATATAGTAGCTATTAAAATGATGCTTAAGCTTAAGTGTGAGTTTGTAGGGTACCGATTGCCTTATATTTTTTGTAATAAATACTTTTTTAACCTGGCACACGACAATCCGAAACGCTTCGAGGCGCGCGAGGTAACTCAGCCACACCGCAGTAAAAAAGTAAATAATACTATATTTCTTTAATAATTATCTGACTATATTAAAGTTTATATACATATTTTGGAAACAAGAACAAGTAATTTAATGTTCGTTCGAATTTTGTTTTTTCAAACAACTGTTACGTAAGTACTTCATGTTTTAGTGCATTTATTGCTTCACGATGTTGATCACAATGCAGTTTTTTTTATTTTGTTTTTTCATCCCTTATCGATAAGAAAATCTTCTGTACGAAAAAACATTTCAAAATAATAAAAAATATTACAATGTAAGTAATATATTGCATTTGAAAGTGAAATATAAATTAGTGTCCTAATACAAATATATTCGTTAACTTAAGAAGTGTTTATGTATGTTTTACACAAGTATTTTACGTTGTATTTGTAGTAAACAGAAACTAACATGTTCTATGCGATATAGGAAACTAAATTAAGCACACTAATTATTATTATTATGTAAATATACTATAGTGGATTGAAAAACCTGAATAACACTGAGAATGGCGTGTATTTGGAAGAAATTCGCTTTCTGTGCGTAGGGTTCGTCAACTGCTGTGACCTGCGATGCAACAAAAAGTCACTAAAGGAGTCACGGGATGAATCAGCGATCCCACGGCGCGTCACATTTCGTTTGCGATGGAATTTCTCGGAAAGAACAGGAAGCACTTGAAAGGTAAGCGGCGAGCAAGGCGTAGCTTTCCTCGAATGGTATTGTGAAGACATAAATATATCTAAACGTACAGTGGACTCTGAAACCTTGCTGGGAAACTCGGGCAACCCGAGCGCCCGATCCCGAGTTAACAAATATATTTAAGAGTTATGGGCAGGTTTATGTAGGATACTATAAGATCATGCCCTCTCTTGAATATGTGCAGTACTAAAAACATGTAACTAGTAGTGCCAAATAGCACATTCTATTATTTCTAACTAGATCAGAGGATTCAACATGCATGATAGCTGCGTCATTTTTAAGCGTCCTATGGCCAATCCGAGTCAAAAATTTGGAGCTGGTTTTTGGGAATCTTCTAAACAACTGCCTTTAATAAAAGTTACGCGAAAACTACTCGTATTTCCAGAAAATTCTATGACATTATTTGAATATCTAGTTTCTTTCTGATTTAATTTGGTTTCATTTACTTTTTTTTCAAAGAATTATAACAAACGCATGTGACATACGGGAGAAGTATAATCTGTGCGCGTTTACTTGAGCTCCAGAATCTCTTCCCCACCACAACAACAAATAACGGAATGATGAATAAAAGTACCAACATAGAGAGGTTTGCACTATTTTAAAATTTGACATTATCTCTTCCGAGTTCTATAAAGTATCTTTGCATTGGGTGAGCTTAAACGTAATATTATTCTCTATCTCAGGCGGGAATGTACTTTTGCATGTTACAAGCTTCATGAACGCTGAATGAATAAATCAATCCTGAATGGTAATATAACGAACTTAATTTAAAGTTCAATAGATTTTCATTTTTTTAATTTTATCAATAATATAATTATTTTCATATGCTAAGTTTTGCAATTTTCAAAATTACACTCTCTTCCAGAAAAAATGTAAAGAAAAACTTTGAAGCCGTTTCTTTTCTGGAAATAATGGTTTACAAAATGCCATGCAAAATTTTGCGAAAACTTCTCCATATTTTCGAAAAATTGTACGAGTACTTTTAAGAAGACGCCCTTAAAAATTGAATATTTTGCTTTTTTTGGAAATCTAAAGAGTTCAGTGAAAAAGAGAACTGGACAACTTTTTAAATGTACTGTGACGCCTTCGAGACAAAATGTTGAGCAATTTGTTAGAAAGTTTTGAAAATGTTAAGTCTAAATATAAAGTATACCAAAAATCAAAATGGCAGTTTCAAACTTGCAGAGCCTTAAGTCCTGCTGGATCTATAGTGGAATATTAATTTTAGAGAACGGTTTACGCCGGCGTCTTCTTGAGAACAGGCCTTCAGACTGCTCCGTGACGTCACGAAATGTAGGGTCGCTTAGCGGCGACTGCCAGGCAGTAGAACTACTGAAATGCTTATTGTTTTTACAATTCACATTTACTTACTGTAAAGTTAGTATCGCCAAATACCAAAACTACCTAACACATATTCATTCCAACAGTAGGCCTCCATGCTCTACAATTAAAAAATTTCAATCTTAATAATCGGTACCAATATACAAATGCTCAAAAATAAATTTAATGGCAGATAAGGTATTTTCAAGACTATCTTCAAATCCTTTAGTTCACTAAGATTTTAAATTAGCTGTAGGTCATAAATTAAATTCCTTTACCTCATTTATTTGGAAGAATTCTGTCCTGATGTTTAAAGTTTCAAAAAAAAATTAAAAATGACAATTTTTCTTTTTCATTAACAAATATATTAATTCCATTTCTCAAATTTCCTCCAAACAGAAATGTGCCCTTCCCTTCCATGAACCAGGAAATTAGCACCTACAAGTTTATTACTACCAAAATGGTTTAAAAAGCACATTAAATTTCTTGGGTAATTATTGGACGCAGAATGGTTTATTTCTAATAGTTAAATCCATAGGAAACTTAAAATGCATCAAATGAAATCTCTTATTGTGTTACAATTCTTAATTTGTGTTACAGCTTCCCGGTTTTAAAATATCTTAAACTAGGATTAAATTACACTACAAAATTTTCCATGCAGAAAAAACTTCTTCGAACGTTCATTTTTTATTACTGAAAAACGAACAGCCCGTTAATTAAACAAAAATTGGTGATCTTTTCAAATTTAACTGCTGGCATCTAAGCTCAGCATGTTGTACTTTAAATTCAAAACCCTTGAAAATATAAAGCAAATGATTAGGCAGAATAACTTTACTTTTTAAATGCTCATGAGATATTTACGATACATTACTATTTTCCTCAAATTAACTATTAAGATAAAGAGCATATTAAAACTTAAGCACAGTAAAAACTAATTCTATTGCTCATGCACACATTTTATGCAATTAAAACAAACTGCGTTTTTAAACACAAAATTTATTATAAAAGAAAATGTACAGACATTTCAACAAAAAACAAAAGTTTTATACAATCATTACTGTGCCCGGACGTTCAGCCACATAGGATTTTTACCTAAATTTCACAGGCAGAAGGTATTTGTTTTTACTTAACTAGGCATACAAAAAATGATATTTACTCTAGCTAAAGGTAGGGTACAAAGAAGCACGTAAACAATGAAAAATTACTTTTTTAACGAGGGTAGATGAAGAATCTGCTCACAGTTACCTTGATGCCGTCTCCAAGGTAGTGTGGACAATGACTGCGAGTCACTAAAAATCACCTCCCAATGACACTTCTTTCTTGACAGTGAAAAACTGTTTCTTATTAGATACTGAGAGTTCTATTGACAACGTCTGCCACTCTCTCAACATCATTCTGTTTCTTACAGTAAATATTGAGAAAACAGTTTGTTCAAGACCTGTCTTTAGACCCCATCTTTATATCTTATCTTAGAAAACCGCATCTTTACAACCTTCCCTATTTCATGTCCATTCACACATTAGTCATCTTCTAAAACTTGCAGATTATCAATTGTTAAGGAAGCAGCAGCAGCTCTTTGATTCTTCAAATTCAAAAATTCATTCTCCATTTCAGAGCACAACTTCTTTTCTACAATATAATTTGTAGTAACAACTGTAAGTACATTTTCAGTAGGATGAGCAAGAGCTCCCTGAACCATTTTGCTTATTATTCAGAAGTTTTCATTAAATGGAATCTCCCTGTCCAGGAGGAGTGTAGTTTTGCAATGGTCACGTGTAAACTTCTTGGCAATTGAAAAAGGACAGTAGTCAGCAATTTAGACCAATAAAGGCAAACATTCCATTACACCTTAAAAATCGTTAGAAAACACTTCAATATAAATGCCATGATGATGATGATGATCCACGTTAGTTTTTGATGCCAATGATAAGTCATCTACAGGAATGTCCCCATACTCCTTTGAAAACTAGTATAACCTTAAATGTGCCTGCAGCCTCAGTTTGGCTTCACATTCATACTACTGTCTTAAATAAATATGATATTGGCTACCAGAAAGTGACCTGTAGAAGCCAAATCTGGTTTCGAAATCATCTGTCTAAAAATTTCTAGACATGATGTATTTAAAATTAAGCCCATTAACACAATATGAAGCTATTTCCACCAGAGCATAAGAAGGTTTTGATGCAGAATGTGTTTCTCTGCTCAATTTACCACTACTGATTTGCATCTTCTCTTTAAACATCCAACCAGTTAATGAATTTACTCAGGTACACATATTTTACATCCCCAGAATCATTCGTGCACGGTGTCTGATAAATATTGTCCAAGCGTGTACCAGTAAATAGGCTCCGAACATTAACAATTTCCCACAATGTACTAATGATCTGTATAAAATTTGCAGTTTCTTCATAATGTAACAAATACGCTTTCCTTTTCCTTTTTCACATCCATTTCTTTTATGCCTTAAATGATGTGCTTATTAAAAATCTGAAGAGCTAATTTTGGAGCTGGGTACTTGGAGCCAGTGCCAATGAATAACCAAATTTGGCTCACGAATTGACTTCAAGAGAATGCAATTCCTTCAGCATGCCAAGAGATGCAGACTGTGCACCTGAAGATTCAACGGCATTTTCAATCTTGGAATTCAATTTTGGATAGAACATAGACTGCTCTTCATTCTTTGGTCAAAGTCAGCTATTTTTAATACATTTTAGTAGATGTACTGTGTCAATTACAAAACAAATATCATTTGTGTTGCAAAACAAATAGCAGTAGGGTGGCGATACACTATTTGGTTTTGTGGAGGAACTCCAAAATACTCATAACTGTAGAATTAATTTTGTTGTTATCAGAAATTACTGTAATGACTTTGTATGCAATTTTCTCTAGTCCTAGGAGTGTACGCTTCAAATACGAATGACGCACTTCTGCAGTTATAAAGGACACAGGCAAAATATATACAACATCCTTAGACATAATACTACTTAAAATGAACACATGAACACCACCAGCACTTTTTGTCAAATTGTGGGATTATCCAACTATTGCACTACCTTTGTAGTCCCAAAATTTTTAAATGTAAATTTTATCAACAACGAGATTGACAATTCGGTTATTCTCATTCTGGAACATTTTTTTTTCTTTGTATAAGACAGAAAATTACTATCTCCTTATTCACTCTCTTGACTAAGGTTGTATTTCAAGTTGAGATAATGAATTGTGGACTCTTGAGGTAAAATAATATTTCTTGTCTCTTTTACAAAGCGGTATGTATTTGCAGCCAGACTAAACAACAGTGAAGCAAAATTCATTAAATCAGGAGAGTATCTTCTTGCATTCCCCTTCGTATGAATTAACATTAACTGTTCAATCATAAAGAAGACATTTGTATATTCTACTGTCTTTAAAATATCTACAACATTTATTAAATTGGCATCATCGCTTCCCCTAACGAAACACTTCCAAGAATTTAATTTAGTCAATATTGCATTAATTGCCACAACATTTGTCACAGTAGCAGGCACATCTTCATTCCGTAACCTATTTCACAGCTTTTAAAGGACACTTACAAGTGTAAATTCAAATCTATTGAAAGAGATGCAGTTATCCTAGGATCAGGTGAGAGAACAACTTTTATAAAAGTAATGAATCACTTTCTTGTACTATCTTCCACTAACTTATTAAAAAAAGTGAAGTTTGAATTTGTGTTCTTCAAATGAGAAACTTCTGGTCTTTTCATATTCCTCATGTTCTTTAAAACTGACTGTAATGGCTTCATCTATTACAGCACACTCTCTCAACATCCTCTTTTGCTCTGGACATTATGTTGTAAGGGGACCAGATAAATAAGAGGGCAGATCAAGAAATTGTGTAGGAACAGCTGTAGGACGTAGTCGAGACTCTTGTAAAGGCACTTTTAGTTTTTTGCAAGTCTTCTCATCTAATACCTGAGAGGGCATTCGAAAATCATTTTCGGAAGAATGTATGTCGCAAACCTACAATGAAAATAAATAATGAGAGTAAATTAAATAGTTTATGAAATATATTATCATAACAGCCAGAGTTCAATATCTACACATTCTTCTGGACACAAACAATGGATATAATGCTAATACCCGCATACATATTTTTACAGGTAATTTATATTTAAACATTTCACAAGAAAATTATTTTGGAAGTTCATATTCTATACACCATGTGTAACCAAAGTAACTTCAAAACATTAACTTTTCGCAGCAGTAATTTTACATCAAGAGTAACATAACCTGTACATTTTCTTTAGTATTTCTCACCTTTTTATTTTTATTAGGCGAAAAGTGGTCCCTTTTAATAGCATTAAGCCATTTCCGGTACAATTTCGGATGCTTTTCTTGACTGGGATATGAAAAAACTAACATATGGCCCAGATTTGTAATTCCCATTACAACCAGGAACACAACATGAGAAAGGCATACTGCTCCTACAAAAGACGTAATTTCAAATTATTTGAAATAAATTACTATATAATTTGGAGATTATTTCACTACCCTGATAATACATACAAATTAAATGAAATACATCATACTTTACCGCAATAGTTCCCTATAGTCGGTCACCAGTAGAAACTCACTTCTTGTTGATACTTCACTAAGCTTGATTTACTTAGTAAAAAAATGCAATTAAAACGCACAAACACATTTACGAAATAACTGTATTTACTGCACTGGCTAACACACGAAAGACGAACAGATCGAACTGGATCACACAACCTACGTTCGATGCCACCCTAATGAGCACAGAGGGCTTTGGGTTGGAGAGCAACCCTACAATTCGTGAAGTCACTAGCAGAGAGAAAAAAGTTTCAGGACCTGTTCTCACGAAGGCGCAGTGTAGGCTCTAGCGTCGACTTCAGGCAGACGGAAAAACATGTTTTGCCGCCAACTAATGTTTCGGTATCTTGGTCCTAGAAAACTAGGATTCTGACTACCCAACGTGCTGGCTGAAGTAATTTACTTCATTTGAAAATAACATTAATTCACTTTTTGTATCAGGGTCTTTCAGTGCACGTTTTTTCGTGAAACCACATTCTAAACGTACGTAAATAGCATATGACAAATTAAAAATTTATGTGTATGAATTTATTATTAGTGAATTTATTTTAATTCTAATAACAACTCAGTATTTTATCTGAATTAATATTTTTATCTTACACGTTTGCATTGTTTACATTCAAAATATAGCTAATAGAAAAAGTAGATTTGGGAGAGAGTTAGAAAAAAATAGTTAGGTTTTTCTTCAAACTATTTATTAATGAAAATATTGAAAATAGATTTTTTACCTTAAATAAATGTAATTAACGCTCCGCAAACCAGGTGATGTGTGCTACATTCCAAAAAATTACGCTTGTTAATATTTTAAACAATGGCGCTTGGAAACCGTTTCCTGTATCTGGAGTAGCATAATTGTTAATATCGGATTATCATCGATGATATACACCATTTTCATGGATGTTAACGGTCCAATGTGAATCGCATTGGTACAGTGAGTTGATGTACTGAAATAACATACAGAAGTCATACAGAAAGATTTCTTCAAATTCGTTTATTGTTTTGTCTCTAAGCTTTCTATTGGTTATTCACATCTATCACTTATGACTACTATTCAAACGACGATTATTTTGTGTTTTAAATTAAAAAAAATGTTAACTTTCAAGTTACGTTTGTAAAAATATATTCCTTTTATTTCTAATGTTTATTCTCGGTATATATTTTTCTTTGCGTTATTTATGCAGACTTCAAACCAAGAAAAAATCTATCGTTTGTTGGAAATACTTTCCACGTCGAAGGATAATCTGGTCAGAGTTTTCTTGCCAGACCACTTTTGGGAGGAAGATCTTTAATTCCGGAATACTAGAAATGCTCAGTGATAAGGTTGCACAAAATTATGAAACAGAAATAATATTTGAGACTCACGTAAAGTTAAAATTACATGGTACAACGAATACAGGTATGTAACTACATGTTTGAACTACTCGTGTGTTCTAGACACTCACATAAAGATCACGAGAAATTACAAGGAATATAATTACACAAGTGACAACATGATGGTGACGCACAATGTGGGTAACCAGTAGATAATAATTACGCCGACTTATGCCGACAACGGACAAAATAATATATCTTTTACCCACCACCATCATCCAAAACGACACCGCAACCACACCTAGTATCTCGTCAAGTCTCCCACACCTGTAGCCAACACCAGGTCCAGCTGGGGTGTCCGGAGATAAAATTGAACAATTGAAATCCGTTCCTCTCCCCTCCTCCTTCACCCCCACCCCCGTCAGCTGCGGATGCGGTGGCAGAATAATTCAACGCGGCGTAGATATTAAAATCCGCGTTTCATTAAATGAAAATACATTGGGACGATTTATGCGGCTCGGTCGTAGGGCAAGCTCCTGCACTGGGGAGATTCGGTCGATCGCGGGATTCGGTCGTCGAGAATGAACAGTTCGCATATGATAGCATCAAATTACGCTTCCGAAGACCACGGCCAGCGCCGCGATACCGTCGTGCGGGGGAGAAGAGAGAGAAAATTAGGTATTTGCCAAAAAACGTGGCACAACGATAGTTTTTCAAGATTATTACCTTCGATTTAAGTGTATAAGAACATGGTAAAATTATGGCAGTTTACAGTGATATTATTGCGTAATCTAACGTCTTTATGGTCGAGGATATTATATAATATTAGAATGATTTCTATATTCATCCTTCTTTACTTTTCTTTCGACACTTTTTCGATTGCTTTGAACTACGTACGAATATTTAATATCGAGAATATTTTCTGTTCCTAAAAATTCTAGTGTGCTTCAGTGTATTTTAATATATCCTTTCTCTATCAGTCTTCCGTCGGCCTCCAGATTATTTTTGGTTTGATATTGGATTTGTTTTATAATACTAATCAATGCTAGGTAAATGTGGTTTTCTCGTCGCGCAACACGGGAACGAACACGACTAGTGAAGGTCAACGAGTGTGTATTTAGTGTTTCCAAGGATATCAACTATTGATGCCATTTGCCCCGTGTAGTGCATGTAATAACCTGGAATGTGGCAATGTTCATCCCCAGTTGGAACCTTAAAATGGGCGCCGACCTCCACATTGGCTGGCGGTGTCTCCTTCTTCACGTATCTCTCCCGTTACGGCTGGGGCGTAACACACACTAAGCCTCCGACTGGTTTCCCGACATGCATGGTAGTGTACTTCATATAAGTAAGTGTCGATGTGAGAAGAGAGGCGGAGAAAAAGTTGAGAATGGAAAGATTGAGCGCGGTCTAGTGTCCGTTTTTTTGGGTTCCGCTCCAGCATGCGCCTAGTATTGATCACAGAAAACACAAAATCTACTGATGAAATCAGCTGACCACTAGAATGTTCCTGCTGGTAGTGGTTGGTCTACCGTGCTATGTAGTTGGTATTACCCAGCTATGTAGTTGGTATTACTCAGCTATGTAGTTGGTATTACCTAGCTATGTAGTTAGTTTCGAAAATCAGCCACTGTATCGGGACTCGTGTTCTAGTTATAGATGCTGTAGAAGGTAAATGTGTTCCTCCTGAAGTAATGCTGATGGTAGCAGTTTTGTGCTTTTTAATAAATATTGACCTCTGTTGATATGTGTGATTATACACCATGACGCTTTTAATTATAGGTTACTTACCGTTAGGTTTATGAAAATTTGGTTTCAGATACGTGAAGTACGAATCTTGGGCTCAAGAGCTTTTGAGTCTAAGTCTATTTAGTGTTTCCAAGGGTATCAACTATTTATGTCATTTCTTCCATATGTGTAGGGAATTTTATATACTTATCCATACATTCCTGAAGTATCAATGGCGAATTGCATTGATAAACTGTAATAAAAGTGATATAATACTTAAAATTCATTGAGCCTCAAATTTGTAATGTGCATTTTTGAATGGTTAGACTGTCATTGTATAATGATATTATAATTGCAGTAGTTTCAGTTGGGTATTCCATTACTTAGATGAAATAACTGAAAAGTATTCTAATTAAATTGTATCCGACCAGATTTGACAAACACATTCATTTTCATTTATGTTTGGAGAGTATGGGGCCGGCATTCCACGAAATAATTTTCATATGGTTTCATTTACTGGTTGCATGAATTTTATATAGTTCAGTTTTACTCTCTCTACGTTTCTAAATCTAAACTCCTTCTACTTAATAACATTAGTACATTCATGTAATTCGTTCTAGTGAGTACCATCTGTTAACATTCATTTCTAACTATTTTTAGGAATGAGTCGAAAGAATATGTTAATAATTCTAGATAGTAAATGTTTTTCAGACAATATGTTTTTTTTAAATCTATTTTATATATGTTTGTGTAAAATGTATTGAAGAAATTTTTTATATGATTGATAATTGCTGGAATTTTTATTTTTATGTTAACTTGTTCGTTTGAAATAAACCAAAGGGTTCGTGACTAACCTGAGAAACTTATTTTGAACAATTTGTTTTCATTTAATCTTTAATGAAGTGGGACTTATCCACATGGGGAATTCATGCACGTAGGTGGATCAACTATAAAACGGAATTTTCGTTTTTAGGGGCTGAGGGGTAAAAGGATAAGAACACGCTTTCTGAGAAGTGAAGGTTGGGGTTTCCATAAACGTCCCGTTCCCTAACCAGGCTGTCGATGTAATTGAGTGTGACAATCGCCATGTCAGAGCGAGAGGTACCCTCCTCCACTGCGCATATAATTAAATTTCTGACGAATAAGGGTGCAAACCCGTCCGATATTTTAATATGGCTGACGGCACAGTTCGGGGACAACACTTTGGAGAAGACGCACGGTAAAAAATTCAAAATAGGAGGACAAATTGGAAACGCAGCTCACGAACGGCGCCTCCATGAAATTGCTTCTGAACTGGATATGGATATATATGGCGGTCGCAATCCCATTACTTAAGAAATTCTGGGGTGTCCGCAAGTGTCCGCAAG